TGAATTGAATGCACGACAATAAAGAATTTGAGTCTGCATTGTGGATTGCTGATGGTTCTTGGCATTGGGTAATGGCTCTCAGAACATTCCTCTTGAAGATCTGTTTTCGTCAGGTACATTGGTAGCGTGGACCCCCCCAAAAAAGTTCTAGATCGTCTAGATAGTTGTCCCACACGATCTAGATCGATACAGCTTCAGCTGTTCATATATCATATTATATTATAAATGATTTAAATTATCATTATCTATAGTCTCCATGTCATATCTTCGTATTTCCACACTGCTTGTAAAAACATGCCAATGCCAACTGTTTTGTTTCCGAGCCATTTGTTGCCAAACATGTACCACGTACACCCTCGTACGTTCACACGCACGCTCACACGCCCACCCGCGCGTACGCCCGCACGCGCGCCCGCACGCTCCTACGCACGCTCGACCGCGCGCCCACACACTCTCACGCACACACGTCAATGCCCACGTTCAGTTCACCTCGCTCACCCCCTCCAAAAAATATCCAAAAAAGCTGTTTACGATGTCTTGATTTCTGATAATCTACAACTAACAAATTTGAAAGCGTCATCGATCGAACGGTTCTCTTTTCATATTGTTCAGAAATCTTGACTGCTTGTTCTTGTTTTTTGAGAAATGCGTCAGCTCTTTAGTCGAGTCAGGCATTGTTGATGCGCGACTGCTTGCGCAGTCTCGGTTCAGCAGCACCTCATGTCTTAGACATGCCGAAGGTGTTGTCCGAGGCGCAGATTACGAGGCTCAGCCATGGTGATTTTGGTGAGTGCGCTAAATGATTGGAAGGTGGATGTGTCAGACGGCATGCTGGTATCTGAGATGCGGGCGGCTTTGGCAAGGAAGATTCATGATTGCACTTCAAAGAGCAGCTCTGCAGCCAAGAGTGCTTCTACTGCTGCAAGCAAGCCAGCTAACATGGTGTCTTCCAAGGCTTCATCTGGACCAGGCCTCATCATGTGGCACCAAATCGGGTCTCGTTCGGGTCTCGTCAGACGTCTCAAAGCTTGGCTTGTTGTGGGAAAGCTTTTGTTTCTTTCCTTTCTTGCAGGAAAGACAGAGGCTTTTTTCTACGCTCAAGAGAATGGCTCACAAACGCCATCCTCCTTTGCTCATCATTGGCTGAAACCTCAGCGCCTCCGCTGGCCAGATCATGCAAAAAGGTTACTCCTCTGGGCAGATTCTGGAGGAGGGAGCCTCTTGCGCTTGAATGTCTCCGTGGCAGTGCTGTGTGAGAGGTATGCATGTGACCTTTTCTTGAACCCAAGCTATGGAACCAAGGCGATGTGTGCGCTCGACACTTTTCCGCATGGGCAGATGGCTGCCAAGTGGAGCGCCTTCAAGCAAGAGTACTCGCGTCAGCATGGGGGTGACTTGGGAATTTTTCCCGCCATCTCTGCTTTGCGTCATATCGTTGAGGAGAGCCTTGCAAGCAAACCAGCAGCTGCTGGATGGTGCAGGGTGGGTATAGTTCCAGGTGAGCCAATCAACAGAAACAAAGTCCTTCACGACAGACTTACAGAATGCTTTCAGAGCAAGCGCTCTGGAGGAGGCCTGTCGGAAAGGCCTCAAACGCAGGCTGCAGGTGTTTTGGATCTAGTGCAGCGCATCTCTCCCAAGAAAGAAAGGTGTACCGGTGAGAACTGCAAGCGTGTCTTCAGCGTGGCAGACAAGTTTTGCCCTTCTTGCGGTACGCCGAATGCTCACTTTGATGGACAAGAGCTGGCCCTCACTGGCAGTGGCAAAAAGCCTGGGTGGGTGAAAAGCTCTTGAGATTGGTTTTTCTAGGGTTTTCCTTTTTGATACAGGATCGTTTTCTTTTTGGTGTTCCTAGTGCTGCCTGCAAAGCCTAGAACCGGGTGCTACATGAAAGCCTTAGCTTCCCTGCACCCAAGGTATGACCCCAGAGGTCAAGTATGAAACAGCTGGGGAGAGGAGAATCGCGGCTGCCACTGCAGATTGCTGCAGAACCCCCTCCGCTGCCACCGCCAGAGGAAGCTCCTCCAGCACCTTCCTCTTCGTCCGGCCAGCCACAAACAGCTGAAGAGGAAGCAGAAGACGAAACGTGCGACTTGGACACAAATGAGGGCATCACTGGACTTCTGGAACACTTGTTCAAGCACGCTGAAATTAAAGTGAGCTTGAATGAGTTTGACCGTGCTGTCGCGCAGTTTTGCGCGCATTTGACTGAAACGAAGCCTGGCGGCATGCCTCTCAGCAGGCATTTTCGAAACGAGTCACTGGACAAGGGTGACCTCGCTTCAGGAACAGCCCGTAAAAAATGGCTGAAGTTTTGGGTCAGTGCCGTTAAGACTCGGTTTGTGAAGGTCTCCGATCTCAAGTGATCAGAGAAGGCAACGCAGGTGCCGCAGAATGGCTGGTGCCGCAGGACACACATGACGCAGCGCGAAACATATGCGAGAAATAGTCGAGCGGTCGCGACTGAAGAAGTGGGGAAGTATATTTCGTTGGTGTTGCGATTACATGGTGGCAATCTTGTTTTCGAAGCTTTCAAATGCCATGGCTGTATGCCATTTCCATTGTGCTGGGATATATGTTCAAAAACCATTACTTCTAGATGCCCCTGGGAATCGCGATTCCAAGCGGAGAGACCAGAATGTGATGACTTTGCATGCGGGGAAGACAAAGATGGGACACCATGGGGTGACTTTAGCGGTTGCCTGTACGCGGAGAATCTGGGGAGCTGGAAGATGAGAACTGGCGACTTTGTAGTACAACTT